TCCCTGCAGAAAAATCTCTATTAAAAATAAACAAATAGGGACCAGCAGTTAGCATAATGGCTATGTCACTGGACTCCCACATAGTCGACCGTGGTTCAAGTCCCAGACCCGGAGGCTTAAACTCATGCCAGGCGTGTGTGTGTGCGTGCCCAAGATCCCAGGAGGAGAATGGAGGAGAAGGGATTGTGGTTTGGCCATCCCCCCTGGGGGGTGATTTCTTGCTTTCTATCTCTCTGTCTCTCTCTGTCTTTCTGGCAAGCGCATGTGCCCTATAGTGAAAACCTCTCCAAATAAATAAATAAATAAAGACTGATAAATGAAGGCACATTCAGTTTAAGACTATCTGCAAAAGTCATCAATAAAGCAATGAAAATACAAACTTCAGAGTATTTACAATATGTTAGGTGTCCAAAGTCTTGTAACAAGAGCATATTAATAAATATATTTAAAATCCTACTAATCACTAAGAAAAAAATCAGTAGCATCATAGTCTTGAACAATTCTCAAAAAAAAAATGCAAATATATGAAAAAGTCCCTGACACAATAGTTATAAGGACTATGAAAAATTAAAAGCACATCAATTAAAACAGATTTGGAAAAAAATGGGGATTCTTATATATTAATGGTAGAACTAGTTGGTACAACATCTTTACAAAACAATGGGTGTTATTTAGTAAATTTTAAATTATATATGACTTGTGATTCCATACTGACATATACAACTAAGAGAAATGTCTACCTGTGGGTATCAAAGGGTAAATTCAAAATATATATTTGATCATCCTTTACAGCAGCCCCAAACTACAAACTTCTGAAATGCCCATTAAATATAATGGATAAGGCCAGTCAGTGTGGTGGTTAAGGCAGCTAGGTCCCACATGACCTAGTGCCTGGTTTGAGTCCCAGACCCGGTGACTTGAAAATCATGCAGGGTCCATGTGCTTGCATTCTCAAAATCCCAAGAGGAGGGAAAGCAGCTCAGGCATTACCATCCCTTCTAAAGGGATGAGTTCTCACTTTCCTTCTCTCTAGTTTTCATTTTTCTCTCTGCTGAGCTCACAAATCCTCTAGCAAAAACTAAAAAAAAAAAAAAAAAAAAAAAACAAACTGCCTTGGCACTGTTTTTATTTTTTTCTCTCGGTGGACCCAAAAAAACAAAAAAAAAAAAAAAAAAAAAAAAAGCTAAATGCATTGTGACATATTTATACAGTTGAATCCCAGAAAATAACTAAAATGAATAAACTGTGCTTTATATTACCATATGAATGTGTTTTACAAATATAACGCTGATCCACAATCCAAACAAAATTATGCCTATTGAACAATGGTCAGGAATGAGAGACAGACAGTGGTGTGATGCACCGTGAAGCTGACCCATATGGGAAGGTTTCGCATTCAGAGACCACCCTGTGTATGCCATGAGCACATTGATCCAAGATCCAGGGCTGGCTGAAGCTGAAGGTGGGTCATAGTGTCAGGTCTGCACGGGAGTGCCCCCCTCATAGAAGGGATAAATAAGTTTTTAAAAAATACATATGTAGTTCAGTGATGAACTAACCTATAGATTTTAAGATATATATGTGTGTTAAAATAATAAAAAGGGTTTGGGGCCGGTAGGTGACATGGTGGTTAAGGGTGCTGGAGTCCCACATGGCCAACGGTGGTTCGAATCCTGGACCTGGCAACATGCTTTCTAGAATTGCTAGCAGGCTAGTAAGGAGTAGTGACTGGGATGGAACTGTATGGGCGGATGTTGCCCCTGGAGTGCTGCCACCTTATGATGCTTGTTTTTCTTTTTCTTTTTTAGTTTTTATTTGTCATAGGGCGTGTACACTCACTAGCAACTTGGCAGAGGGCACGTGCACTCCCCAGAGAGAGACAGAAAGAAAGGAACAGGGAGAAGGAATCCTCCCAATGGGGAGTGGTTACTCCACAAACCCTTCTCCTCCATTTCCCCATTTGCACTGGTCAGAATTGCAATCACACTCACCCAGTGTGTTCTTCATGCTGCCAGGGCCAGGATTTCAGCTGCAGTTGGTCATGCAGGATTCGTCTTCTTTAACCACTTGGCTACGGGGCCAGTCCATGCTTGGTTTGGAGACCTGAGTGTTGGCTACCTATGCATCCCATTTATGGTAACATGTGCATTCCTATGATTTTCTTTATATATATTTCCTAGTTTTGCTTTTAAGTTTCATATTAAAATATAAACTGAGTGCAGAGAGGCCATTTAGGAAGCTACTATAATTCTCTAAGGGAAGGATGAAGATGGTGGACTGAAGAAAATTAGAAGTAAAAGGATTCAAGAGATTTCAAGAGCTGTGCTCAGGGTAAGACGCAGGACGGGTAGCACGTTCAGTCGTTCCACTTCACCGGCAGACACCTATTGTGTGAAAATGTCTTGAGACATAGGTCGTTTCTTTTCTTTCCTCACATGAATACCTAATTAGCCTAGCAGCTTATCAAAAACTATTTATTACAACCCTATTTATTACAGTTCTCATTTTACTGCTGAAGAAATGGCCACGCCACTTTCACGTGGATCAGGACAACGTAATAGCCACCTTCCTTTTGATTGCAGCTGACCGAGCAGTAATGGTGGTCGCCTGGAAGACCGTCACAGGCCCAGGCACAGTGGCACCCACTGGTAAATGCTGCCACTGAGCAGGGAAAGGCCACGGGGTGGGGCAGGGGTGACTCCCAGCCCATCCTAAGGAGCTATGGCAGTACAAGCCTGTGGTCCCCCCAAATTAGGAGGCTGACACAGAAAGTAGAGACAGCAAGACAATGCCTAAGGGGAAAGACAGGTTCCCACAGCATCGCCGTCATCGTCAGTAGAACTGAAACAGCGCCTTGAAGGCATGAGGTCGGCACATTAAACACAGTCTCATTTATCATCCCACAAGTGTGTAGAGCAGTTTCTGTATGATGGCCTCCAGTTAGCTAGGACGCAGTCTTGAAGAGATGAAGAACAGACTACTGGAAAGGGGTGGAGTCCAGTCCCAAGCACAGATTTGTTACTCTCGAAAACATAGACTCTAGATTATTAGTCTCTGCTGCTTTAGAAATACGCTAAAAGTGGGCCAACAGGTGGCATGGTGGTTAAGGCGTTGGATTTCCATATGGGTGAACAAGTTTGGTTCAAGTCCTAGATCTGGCGCCTTGGAAATTATGCTGGACATGTGTGCATGAGTGCCCAAAAATCCTAGAAAGAAAACGAAGGAGAGAGGATTGTGATGTGGCTATCTTCCCTGGGGAGTGATTTTTCACTTTCTCTTTCTCTGTGTCTCTCTGTCTCTTTCTGGTGAATACACATACCCTATGGCAAAAACCTAAAAAAAAAAAAAGCTAAATGTGGGCTAGCAGGTGGCATGGTGATTAAGATGCTATGTCCCACTGTCTGACTCTGTGGTTCAAATCTTATTCTAGCTGGCTTAGGAAAACATGCCAGGTACATGTGTGTGTGCACCCAAAATCCTGAGAGAAGATTAGAGGAGAGGGGACTGTGGTGTGGTCCTTTCCCCTGCAGGTGATTTCTCACTTTCCCTCTTTCTGTATCTCTCTGTCTCTGGTGATCACATGTGCCCTATGGCAAAAGTATTTTTCAAAAAAATGAATGTAAGGGACCAGCAGTTAGCATAATGGCTATGTCGCTGGACTCCCATGTAGTCGACCGTGGTTCAAGTCCCGGACCTGGTGGCTTAAACTCACACTGGGCACGTGTGCGTGCATGCCCAAGTTCCCGAGAGGAGAATGGAGGAGAAGGGATTGCGGCATGGCCATCCCCCCTGGGGGGTGATTTCTTGCTCTCTGTCTGTCTGGCGAGTGCACGTGCCCTATAGCAAAAACCTCTCCAAAATAAATAAATAAATAAATAAATAAATAAAAAACCTTAAAAAATTTTAAAAAATTAAAAAATTTTTAAAAAATGAATGAAAGATCATGAAAGATCAATATATGATCACTCAAAGTGATCATGTATTTTAAATAATAAGTTTTATTTTCAGTTGCAAATCATTCACTTGGATTTTTATGGGGGGGAGGAATGTTTTTAACATAGAAAATCTTTACTCCAAATCTTCCTCTAATCATAAAGAGAAGAGAAAGTGTGAAGCCCATCTAAAAGCACCAAATCTAAAATAAATATTTCCTTTCCTACATCAGCTTTTCCTACCCTGTCTATAATATTGACAGGTATCACACTAATGCGGATGTCTCCATGTTAAATGTATCTAAACCTTCTCATTCTGATTACTTGTGGGACTACAGAATTCTCCATCATGACTTGAGATGCAAATTAAAATGGCAGCAGGTAACTAAGAATGTGTTGTTTGTCCCAGCTACAAAAATATTACTGTGCACTAGACTCCACTGTTTTCTGTTTTACCCCATAACTCTTTCTCTTTGACTCTTTTTCTTATGAAATAAATCCTGGCATTTTGATAACTTGCCAGTATTAATTCTTTTCATTAAATACATTTTATTTCCCAAGTGACGTTTCTCCTTCTGGAACTCTGACCTCGGAGACCCTGCTGAGCTCATTATCATTGCCAGCAGCAGACACCCAAGCCTCCTCCGAACATGCTGACAGACACTTCCTTTTTTGCCTGACATCAGACATTTCACTTTCTGACATCTACAATTTTGTGAGAATTTCAGTGGCTGCCTCAAGACTGCATTTATTCCTACCATAGGTAGCATTCCCGTGAAGCACACAAGAAGGTCTCTCTCTTTCTGTTTCGTCAGTGCGTTAGTCTGTTAAATGAATTTATGGCGGTGATGTTTGGTGAACCAAATTAATCTCATATAATTACTTAGGCAATCAAATTGACTGAATTAGATTATTTTCCAAGGTGTCTGCTTATGTGTAATCTTTGCATACGTCCCCTCAGTTGTTTGTGTCTTATTTATTTCTTCAGCAAACATTCATTGAGTGTTTCATGTGCCATCTCATGGAAAGTACAAAATGGAATAATCATCAGGAGTAAGAGCAGTGCTTATGCTTACCTGGCAGGGGAGATACTGTGATCCTGAAGGTGATTTTTTCCAGAGTGAGGCTTATCCATTGCACTCTGGGTGTACTGACCCCCGCCATCCCCCCAAATGTGGGAAACTCGATGGCATAATTTGTCGTAGTGGAGGCCCGTGGTTGGGCTTTCCCTAAATAAAGAACTAAAACAAAAAAATGCTTGACAATAGTAGCTGTAAACACATTTGTTGAATGAATAAATGAGAGAACAAACACAATAACCACATCAGTGTTAAATAACTGAGCACTTTTCAAGGGCTTGCTTGACCTTCTCCCAGGAGAAGCCCAGAACTTTCTCCACTCAGGGAAATGGGTTACAGGCCACGAGGGAGGGCCTAGGCAAGTTTTACCTCTGGTTCTGGAATGAGGAGCAAAGAGGATTCTATCTAACCACCTACCTATTGGGAATGAATGTCAATGTCTAAAACGACAAGTGGAAGGAGAATAAGAAAATGGTCTACTTGGAGAATCAACAAAATGAAACAGAAAAGTGGAAATAGTCTGAAATAGTTTATGCTAAGGTGCGCATCAAGATGAAAACATGGTACCTGCCATCTGTGTCATCAAGATGAAAAAGATGATACCTGCCATTCGCAACAACGTGGATGAACCTGGACGACATTGTGCTACGCGAAATAAGACATGCGTGTAACAGCATGATCTCACTCATGGGAGGAATCTTAAAGAAGTTGAACTCATGGAGACAGAGCAGAATGGACTCGAGAGAGGGAGGTCAAAGGACACAACTTCTCAGTTAGAGAAATAAATTCAAGAGATCTACTGGACATTACGGTGACTGTATTCGATAAGAATATATTGTACACTTGAAAACTGCTGAGAGTGGATTTCAAGTGTTTTCACCACAACACAACACAAGGAAACCAAGAATGTGAAGTAATCTATACGCTAATGATCTTGATTTAGCTGTTCTATAGGATATGCAGGGACTACCTATATGACAATATCATTTTGTATTAATATGAGTTTTGTCCATTTAAAAAAGAAAATTAACTTAAAATCTCAAGTGTTGGGACCAGCAGATGGCGTAGTGCTTATGTACCTGGACTCGTACTTGGCTGACTGAGGTTCGAGTCCCAGAACCAGTGACTCGAAACACACCAGGCATGTGTACATGCATGCGAAAAATCTTGAGAAGAGACTAGAGGAGAAGGAATTGTGGCCTGGTCATCCCCTGAGGGGATGACTTCTCATTTTCTGTCTCTCTGTCTCTCCCACATTCTCTGTACAAAAATCTCTCTTAAAAAATAATAAAATACAATCACAAGTGTTAAAACTATTCAGACAAGAGCAGCAAGTTCCACGGCACACGCAGCTCTCTGACTCCCTTAGATGACATAGAAACCGCTTTCCTTGTTTTTCGTTATTACAGAGAGAATGAGTCATTACCAAGATGGCTGAAGCTATAAAGTTTAAAATATAACTAGAATCAAATAAAGACTCACAAAGTATAATTGATTAGAGCACAATAAGGTGGCAGGCATAACTCACGTTTAATGTGCTTGAGGTCCCTTCCCATCAATGATTCTTTCCACAAGAGAGCCTGAGCACAGTAATCAGCTCTGGGGAATAGGGCCAATAGCCTGCGAGTTGATGAAAATGAAATATTGTATCTATCCACTCCAGAATTTAATCAATAGTCAGGGGGAATGTGTGTTCACTATTTATGATACCTGCTCTGGCTGCATTCACTTCTTGTTTTAATTTAATTTAGTTTCTTTGTTCTGTTTATCCCACACAGTAAGTTTATGTATTTATGGAATACGGTGTGGTTTCTCAGTAGGTAGTACCACGTGCAATGATGAAATCATGGTAATTAGTATATTCATTCTCTTAAAGATTGACAGATCCTGCTCTGTGTTGGGAACATTCAAGGCTGTCTCTGTTAGCTGTTTTGATATGTACAGTGAATAGAGAACTAGAGTTTTTCCTCTCGTCTAACGGTGGCTCTGTATTTTTGACCTTGTCTCCCCATCCACCCTTCCCAGCTTCTAGAAATCACTATCCTATTCTCCACTTCTACGAAGAGAGCTTCCTCTTCCTGTTGCTAAGAGGACTTCTACTCCCTCCAGCGGCATTCACGTCTTCACCCACAGTATCTAGCTTCTCATCCTGATCCTCAGCTAAACCTGCCCTCATGCAAGATGTTAGTAACTCTGTTTGCACAATTGTAACTATCATCTCTGTTCTCGTTTTCGTTGGCTCCTCTGGAGCATTTGGCACCACCGAACGTTTCATCTTTCTGGAAACTTGGTTTCCCTTGCTGAAATGCAGAGCCGTCATTTCTCTGGCTGCTTCCCAGCTGAGTCCTCTTCCTCTTTTTGGCACAATTCTCACTTTTTAAGGTAGTTCCTTTCCTCCATTTGGCTTCTAAAAATGTCAGCTTCTTGTTTTATAAGCCTTTCTGGCAGACAGAAACAAGAGGCTATCCGATCCCCACACTCAGAAGTATTCGCCCTAGAATTTGAATCAGAATGCGAAGAAGCAGAGCATCCAGAGAACCAGTGTTCATGGCAAAGAACAGCAGAGAGGACCTCTACACGGACGCTTCATCCCCAGTAACTGCTGAATTTCTGGTGGGGAAATGTTGTGTTTCATGTCGGAGTTTCACCGGTGCAAAGACGGTGCCTACGCCCAGCAGGATCTTCATCACATCATCACTAGAGCAGTGTGATGTCATTGTCATTGTTCTTCATGTCTGTATTTATCAAGTCACATGTGCGCCATTCAAATTATTATACCTCAACTGGCCAAGAATAACAGATTGCATCCAATGACATATACAAAAAGAGAAAAACTTCCCCTTCTTTTTTTCTTCGTCCTCTCCCTTTCTCTTCCCCCTCCCTAACATTTCACTATTTTTATGAAGATTTAGATGATACAAATGAAATAGTCAATTGTGCTTCAGTTAATATCTCATTAAAGTAGGGGTTAAGAATCGAGCTTGGGTTAAATCTATTGAATCCAAGAATTTAAAAAGAAAATATGAAAGAAAATTTAATTCACATGTGATTGTTAAATCTTTTTATTTCTGATACACGTACTCTACCTCCTGTGCAAACATCTCAATTATTATCATTGTCATTTCAATTTCAGACCAGGAAGTAACACTAAACAAACTTTTCTTTTTTTTTTTTTTTTTGGAGAGGTTTTTGCTATAGGGCGTGTGCACTCACCAGACAGACAGAGAGAGATAGAGAGACAGCAAGCAAGAAATCACCCCCTGGGGGGATGGCCACGCCGCAATCCCTTCTTCTCTGTTCTCCTCTCGGGATCTTGGGCACGCACTCACACGTGCCCGGCGTGAGTTTAAGCCACCGGGTCCGGGACACAAACCATGGTCGACTACGTGGGAGTCCAGCGACATAACCATTACCCTAACTGCTGGTTCCCTAAACAAACTTTTCTAACACCACACTTTTGCAGAAGGAAACCACCAAGGCTGAGAAAGGATAAATGGCCGGCCCACGGCCGCATACTCATTAGCAGTTGATCTCTCTCTCTGGGTTCAATGGCTTCTTCCAGTACCTCGCTGCTCACCCTTGAGGTGTCTACTGCTGACCCTGACTATTAGAACATTTTTCCTTATTATGGGCTCTCTGAAAACTTCTTGCTCCATTGATCCTTAAAAATGTAGAGACATAAAGGATGAGCTTAATCCCTCTTTGAGAAGACCGTTATTTATGTTGCTCAGAGTTTCTGAATTCTTCTCTGGGATGAGGACTTCCTTCATTCCTTCCACTTGGTATTCATATAGTGTCACCCTCTGAGTCACCCCATCATTCTTGGCACACTCCAGTCTTCTGAGCACACTTCAGTTTATTCTATTGAGTAGTAGCTAGAACTTAGAAGTGTATACGATACTTACATTGTACTCTCACTGGCTTAGAGTTTGTCTCCTTTGTTCACATGGACGGTGAGATGCCTGAGTCTCACAGGACTCATAGACTCTTGGAAGGAACCTTGGTAGGTTGGAGGTGGTTTGGTAAGCATCAGGTAGGAAGAATTGTCTCTGAAGGAAGATATGAATATGGCCCTGTGAAACAACAATTGCATGGAGGTATACCAGGAACCATTTTTTAACAACTTGTAGAACTTTATGGAAGTCATTTAAACCCTTTCGGACTCTGATTTGATGTGCATAAGCTCTATGGCTTAAGTGATCACCAAGGATTCAGCACAACTGATAAAGACCAAGGGGACTTTGCTTCTGAGGAGTCCCCCATCCATGTTTTAGTTCTACTGCTCACTAACTATGGGAATTTGGTCAGGTACCTCAGTTTCTCCTTTAAAATAGGTTTGTGGGTATGAGAAGTGGAGGAGAAGGATGCTGTTGGAGTTTTATGATGCTTAAGATTGTATCTCAACCTCCCAGTGCTGTTATTCCACAATCCACATGCCCGCTCCAGAATAGTATTTTGAAAGATAAAGATTCCATCTCCTGTAGAAGAACTGAGATCCTGGTTTTATGAGAAGACACTATTCCTTTCACAGGTATTGCGCTAATTCTCCGTTTAATTAGTCCTAGATCAGGGCTGATGGAATCACATGTTATGCAGCATTTCAGCAAGCAGATTCCCCTGAGCTGCTGTCATGAAAAGCCAGTGACCAAGACTTCTCAACATGATCTCTTCCAGTAATGAGCTGTTTCTAACTTTATCCACATCACAGGCACTCAGCCCATTAGCTGGTTTTGAAGAACAGTTTGGGATACCAAAAAACCATTATGTGTGATCATTGATTTTTCTAAAAGTGGCATCTGGGGATTATCAACTCAGCAAGTAGCAAGCAAACAGTGGATGTCTTTCTTCAGTTGAATACCAAGATGACCTAGCTGTGGCAGACTCAGTCAGCTGAAAGAAGATGTGTGTGTGTGGATTTTAACAATCCAGAGCATCCTCCTCTCAACCACCTCAAATTAGCTGCAGCACAGGGGAATGGCCCATGAATTATTTACAGAAAAGCACCTGATCCCCACTCATCTTTTTCTTTAGCTATGACTTGTCATACTCCTTCATGGAAGTCAAGGAAAGAGCAGGTTCGACAATTTTGTGTAATAATGTCCTCTAGGGACTGCCTCTTATTTTCCCCCTGAGAAAATAGACCAGATAGCTAAA